GAGATGCGGAGGTTTGGGGACCCATCCGCCGGGTTGAGACTTGCAGCAACCGGCCCCATAATTGCCAAAGCTATGAGAGATTGGGGTGCTAACTTAGTTGGGGGGGGGGGCACGCGGCGGCGCGGCAGTCTGCTCGCCTGGCATGTTCGGAAATCCGTGGGCCAGGGGGAGTGTAGGCAGTCTAGGGGGTGGGGGGGTGGGGGCAGTCACTTGACATGCGTGAAAAGCTGGAATGTTCGAGTTTACACTGTCTCGCTCGAGAGAGCCCAGGTGAGCAGACTGCCGCGCCGCCGCGTGGCCCCAACTAAGTTAGCACCGAGATTGGCGCAAAAGCCGGCATAATGCACCCGCACAAGTCATGGAGCTGTATGCTGAATGTTGGGGAGGGGACGGGGATGGGTAAATGTTGGGGAGGTTCGTCACAGACCCATCCCCGTCCCCTTCCCAACATTCGGGATACGGCCCATGGAGATTCCCTGCCGTAAATTTAATTGCAACCGCTGATTCACAGACAAAACATTTTTCCTACGACAATTATTGGAACCTTTATTTAAGTGCGTTTCTTTTTCGAAATTGAGGACGTTGTCAAGCTCCTTACGTGTAATTTTTGGCCCTCTGCACTTTACAATCCCAGCCCCCTAATATTCTTTGTTAAAGGTGTGCTCCTTTTTCTAGGGAGCTTTTTCCGGTCTTTTTAACACACTTTGTTTTAATGTTCCTTGCATATTTCTAGAAGAAATTAGCATCTATTGCCCTCACTTATCTATTTTTAGTATGAATGGCATTCAACTGTCAGAGGAAGCTCAAACTCGGAAGAGCTTAATTCTGAGGAACCTACAGGTATGATCTCTTGCATTTTTTGTCGTCTGCTGTTGTTCAAAAACCAAGTGCATGATGGTGTGGGGCTAGTGCATTCTATCACTGTTTTTTAATAGAACCCATCATGCTGTCAGAATTGGAGAATTGCATTCAATGGTGCAGATTGTCATAAATATCGTCCAGCATCTTTTTTCCCTTTTTTGTTAGGTCGCGTTCATACTTGGCGAAACCTTTGCACTTCGCTAGTAGTTCGAGTTTGAAGTAGATACGTATCGATCATGCGTTTTCGCGATTGCGCAGTCGCAAGATCGAATGATCGATGCATGTCTACTCCTTAAAGAATCGCAAAATCGCAAGATCGCAAGTAGTGGCCGCGGCCTTACGCTTCACTGAAATGGCAGATCTTTTTATCAGGTGCTAAGGTGCTTATCTTTGGCTTTTACCCCTTTCGTGTTCATGTTGGCAGAGTATAGCGATTACGGAACAAGATTAGGTTAAGCAATGTTCACTTCAAAACTCATGTGTGCTGTTGTTGTAAATTTCTTCCTTTTCCTCTTTGAATTGCTCTCATTCAAGGAGGCTCTCGGAGTAGACAAGCTGGAAAAGCAACTTTGTGCACGTGTACTGGGGAACCGCAACAACTGGGAAACCTCATGTTGGGTACTTCGTTCCAATGAGGAAAATCGCCGATTTTCTACAAGCTGGTCTGAAGGTTCCGGTTTTCTCTTTTCTCTCTTCATTTTTTTCTGCTGATCAAACATGCATTTTTAGGTGACTGTACTGTTTGCGGACCTACATGCTTTTCTCGACAACATGAAAAGTACATGGGAGTTACTCGAAAATCGTGTTATCTACTACGAGCACATTATCAAAGCTCTCTTATTAGCACTGAATGTTCCGAATTGAGCGTCTCCACTTTGTGAGAGGAACTACATACCAGCTCTCCAAGTAATTGCTTCTTTGTAATCAGTAAAGTCGTATTTTTCAATTCCTTTTTTCGATTTGAGCGACTGTTCACTAATCGGTTTTCTTCAGAGAATACACCTACGACATACTCCGTTTGTGTAGCCAGGTATCACAACGTGATGCACTTAAGGCTGGGGCCGAAGTAGTGAAGCAGGTGCCTTTCAGTCTCACTTGACCAGGTGGTTAAGACTTCATTGGCCACATAATCCAATGGTCTTTCAGGTGGAATCTCCGTTATTGTCAGGTCTTCTATATCCCTTACTGCAAGCCCTCGATGAGCAGTACCTAAAGGTTATCTCGTTTCCGCTTAATACTTGAAGAAATTACTAGTTTTTCAGATGTTTGTGAGCTATTTGTAATTATTTAAGCCATATATAGATTTTATTTTTGTGTAATTCAATGGGATATATTGCTTAAGGTGGATGGACAATTCGGTGGTGTTGATCAGCGAAAAATATTTATCTTAGCTGAAGAACAATTACCGAAATTAAAACTAGGAAAACGATGGCACTTGATGAATCCCATGGTTCCTGGTTTAACCGGCTCTAAGATGAGCAGGTACTGTTCGGACCTTCTAATGTGTTTTCTGCTGGAATTTATATCTCCTTTTTATACCCTCCATTCAGCTCGGAGATTGACTCGAAGATTGATCTCTTAGACAGTCATGATGTTGTCGAACGAAAAATTCTTGGTGCTGCTTGTTCACGACAGGAAACTGACAATGGAGTTTTGGCCTTTTTCAACTATGTGCTGATCCCTATTGTCAGCCCCAACTCTCTCGTTATTGCCGACAAGTAAGAGCGTTTTCATCATTTTGACTGACGATGATTTTTGATACATATACTTTCAGAGAGTTTTTCACTTACGACGAAATCAAAGAGTCATTTTTAAGTGGTACATTATCCGCTGAAGATTTGAAGAAGACTCTAATTGAATTTTTAAATGAGTTATTGGCAAAGGTTAGTGTAGTTTCTTTGCTGCACAATGGCTACTTCATAATACTTTTGTCTAGGTGCAAGATCACTGCAAATCCGATGTTGTGCGCGATGCCCTTGAAAAGGGTTATAAAGAAGTGAATGAAAATACGGCTGAGCCGAAGCAGCATCCAGTTGTGCAAGTCACCGACCAACAGCTTAGCCTTGTTAAGCAAATTGTTGGCGACGACATGGTAATTTCTGTTGTATTTTATTCAGGCCTGTTATCGATTTGTGGAGATCGGCTTCGTAATTTTTACTATTCAAAATTTCCGCCAGTAAATTACTTTTTGAGCAGTTGTTTTTCAAAAACGTTGTGAGATTTAA